TATTTTTAAAACCCCCCCCGCCCCCCCAAAAAAACAAGCAGTGTTAGTACCTCAATTCAACCTGGTACCAGCCACTTGTAGTCTCTGTACAGCAGGGCTGGAGTGTGAGAGGATGAAGCAGTACAAGGAGACCATCAACTGTGCTGCAGTACAAGAAGCATACTGACAGAATGAGACAGCAGAGTGGCAGAGAGATAAGCTCATCACTGTGCTGCTTCTCCTTTCACTGTCCAGTCATAGACTGGGGTGGGTCCAGGATGACCTGGGTTTAGAGGAAGTGGATTGAATGATGGTTGCCATCAAACCATATGTAGCAGCAGAATAAAGTACTGTGGCAAGAATCTCTAGGTTGAAGGTAAATATTGCAGTCAAAGCTGGCTTTGTTATTTAATCTTTTAATGGGCTATTTAATAGTTTGGTTTTAAAGCCTGTAATGCATAGGCAGATGCCCATCGATATGGCAAAGATTCAGAGCTTCATTTATCAAAACTCCAACAGACAGATGCTGTTCACGCACTGGCCCCCTAGATGATGGTGATGCGTATATGAAATTCCTATGCTCGTTAGCACCACCTAGGGGCACTAGTGCTGAACAACATCCATCTGGCTATACACCAGATGGAGTATTTATACATTACAGGCATTAACCACTTGCTGTCCGGGGCATTTTCTTACTATTTGCACACACCTTTATTATTATTACAGGTATTTATATATATATATATAGTGCTGACAATTTACGCAGCACTTTACGTAGTTGCACATTCTCATCAGTCCCTACCCTCAAGGAGCTTACAATCTAAGGTCCCTATCTCAAATGCATACAGGGATAATTTTTAGACAGGAGCCGCTTAACCTTCTAGCATGTCTTTTGGGTTGTGTACAGACGCCGGATCGCTTGTACATTAACAGCAATCGTCTGCTGTTAAAATCAGTACCAAGAACACGGCTGCTGCAGCAGCAGCCGTGTTCTTGTTTTAACCACTTTAACGGGCCGCCGTCTATAGACGTATTGCGGCCCGGAAGTGGTTAAAGCCAGAATAACGAGATAATAATGAAAAGCATATTAAAAGATAAAAGAAACCCAGTAGGTCTTTCAGAGTACTTGTTAAATCATGGCCTTCAAAGTAAGAGTTTTACACATGAAATGACCCTCCAATGCCCTGTACAATATGCAGTGATCAGTGAAACAAACCCTTTGTTTGCATCCATGTATGACTAGTGGATGTAACATTTACTGCTTATTAGCATACCCTGCCTCCCTATCGCTCACTCCATTAATCTCAGCTATCTGCAGCAGTTATGGCATTGTGCTTTAAGCTGGCCATACAGCAGGACCAGGCCCGTATAAGTGCCTAGACCCCAACGCTTGACATTTTCAATTGACTTTTGTCAAAGGCCTCGGGGATTCTGACAGCGGCACACCCATCACTGTCAGAATACAAAAGCTCAGTGGGGGGATTCCCTCATCCACGCTAATAGGGGAGTTTGGTATGGTTGTATGGCTTGCTTTACTACGGCGCCTTAGAAGATTACACAGATTGAAAAGCTTGTGATGAGCTCTTGGTACAGAGTCTGTGATGGAAGACGTATATTCAATAAACAGTCATGAAGATATACTATTCTACTCACTTTGCAGGGGCAAGAGTAAAGTGATCTCATGTCTTACCATCTCATAAAACTGTATCTGCTGCTCCAGGTACAAGCGAATGACACTGTTGTAATCGTAAATTCGATTAGTATGGAAATGATTCATTTCAGCTGAGTGAGACATGAAAAGAAAAGTTCAATAAGCCAGAACCATAAACTCGGATAACAAGTCAATGGTCATCAGTTTAATGATTGCTTAACGCATCAATTCATTACCTTGAAGTGCATATGACATTGTGCTTACTCGCTTCACCATGTTTATCTTGTCCTGTTGCGTTATTTTACTAGTAGCCACCAATTTATCACTTTCCTTCACCTTGTCAATGGCTGCCTACAATAACAAAACAAAAAATGCAGAAAAGGGACCTTTCAGTTCAGTGGCAAAATTCCGCACAACCTGCACATTTTAACCATCAAGTACAGTACCTGTTGACCTGCTAGGAATGCACCGAGTCCAAGAAAACTAGGAGGGTTAATTAGAATAATTGTGTTAACGCAGGCAGAATGCGCAGGACACTGGGGAACACTGCATTTCTGGCAGGATCAACAGGTATTTGGATATAGATATAACAAAACACTTTCAATGATTTACCAGACCACAAGAAGGAGAAATGAGAAGTTCATTATTATAGTTACATACACTTTATTTCAGTGCACTTGCAGAACAGAGCATATTTATTTTTTTCATTTTAATGCACATCACTGAAACCCATACAATAACATTTGTTTCAAAGACAAATTATAAAAGTTACAGTATACAACTGTAAACCATTTTGCTTACTACAATGACTGTGAAACATAATGGTGGGTCGGTAAGGCAACGGCAAACCAAAGGCAGATGTGAAATGAAGATTCCCCCCACTTCTCTTTGCCAGTAGGGGTCAGTGACCTCATGCGACATGGAAATTACAGGAGAACACTCGTACCATCATGAAAGTATTTTGCCAATTGTTTCCAGTGTGGTATAGGAACAAGTTAAGGATTTGTTTTTGAGGTTGAACTCTAGGCAGATATAATTATCGCTTTTATTGCTGGCCTTGCAGAAGAATTCATTAAGTCAGTAACGGCAAATGTATTTTTCCTCAACCTCTGACACTTCCATATAGCCTACACTGCTCCCTTCCTCTCCCCTCCTGGCCCAGCAGGTGTGTGGCTGCTGCCTGTATAGCCTCCAGATCTCTGTGAGCAGGGGGCCTGTACAGCAGAGATGGAGGGTGAGAGGAAGAAGCAACAAATGAAGCCAATCAGTTCATGCGCTGAAAATGCCAACTTCACTTAGGGCTTGTTCACACCAAGCGCGTTCCAGGAGCAGAGCAGTTACAGACCGGATCAAAACTGCGTCCATTGTATTCCAATGGTATTTTGGGCTCTAGTCCACACCGCAGCAATCAGTTCCAGTGCATGTAAAAAAAACTGCAGCAAGCCCTATTTTACCTGCTCTGGAACACATGCAAACGCATCATAAACGCATGCAAACACCCTGAAAGCCCATTCTAAACTAACAAAAATGGCCCAGAATGCATCAAAAACGCAGTATAACACACGGCAATGCGTGTGCAGAAACTCATGCAGACCTGGTCTGCATTTGGTGTGAACAAGCCTTTAAAGTGACACTAAACTCAGGAGTTAAATTGAAAAGTGCATTCAGGGCTTGTTCACACCAAATGCAGACCAGATCTGCATGAGTTTCTGCACACGCAGTGCAGTGTGTTTTGCCACGTTTTTGACACGTTCAGGGCTGTTTAAAAAAAAAAAACGGGCTTTCAGTGCGTTTTTGATGCGTTCCAGAGCAGGTAAAATAGGGCTTGCTGCAGTTTTTTTTACATGCTCTGGAACTGAACGCTGCGGTGTGAACAAGAGCCCAAAATACCATTGGAATACATTGGACGCAGTTTTGATTCGGTCTGTAACTGCTCTGCTCTTGGAACGCGCTTGGTGTGAACAAGCCCTCAAGCACCTTAACTATTAACAAAATGTGTCTTATTTGTGTATCACTCGGCTGTAGATCCTCAAACCATCTCTGAATTGGTGCTGACGCTGCCCTTCCTTCTGAAGGGTGGCTACTTCTGTTCCCCATGGTCCCTGTGTATGTTGTTAAGTAGACACAGTTCTAAACTAAAGACTACTGTATAATCTCAATACAAATGAGTAAACTAAAGCTGAGATTGTAGTCCATCACAGGAGTGAGCTTGAAGCAATGGCTAATTTACAACACACATCAAATTGATTTGAGGATCTACCGCTGAGTGATACAGAAAATAATATACATTTTTGTTAATAGTTAAGGTACTTGAATGTACGTTTATGATTTAACTCCTGAGTTTAGTGTTGTTTTAATGCATACTTTTCCTAGGTCTATGGCTCAGAGACAATCAGGAAACCAACAGCTGCAGAAGATGAACAATGACCATTTCTGCTATGATAGGTTTATTTTAAAAGGAAAACTATGGGGTCAGGGCTTTTCCCCATAGTTCTCCTAAGGGTAACGGGAGGACACAAACTAGCGTCCTCCCGTCACCCTAAGCTCAGTATACGGAGACGCGCAGCTGGAACGGATCCCGACAATTCTTTCTGGATCCACCCAGCTGCGTGAGTGACAGCTGGCTCTGCCTATCTAGAATGAAAATCACTCGCCTCATAATTCTCCTTTAACCTTCACATTTGTATCTTTTTAGCAACTAAGGAAAGCCTCACTGCAGAAACTGACATCCTCAGCAGCCTGTGGATCCATGTTTGCACTTGCTATCATGGAAGCCAATGGTTCTTCATCTTGGTAATAGTCCATGGTTGCATCAAAGTTTCCAGACAGAACATTGTCTCATATAAGGTGTATTTTAACACCCTGTGTTTGGTTTTACCAGTTATGAGTGAACAGAGTAGTTCATATACAACATGTGGCTTCATCTCAATCTTAAATGGATGTAACACATAAAAAGTTCAAGTCTGTTTCTCATTTCCATAAAAACAGAAATACTTCAAAAGCACCTTGTGAGCAGAAATGATGTCTGGAAAGCAGCTCAGGAAGCCTTTGTACTCGTGATTGGTTTCCATCAAGTAATGAAGATCTTTCCTTGGCTGGAAAACACACATAACATAGAAAACTGAAGTTTAGAAAATGTTGTTTTTCGGCTACTATATAAAAACGATTATCACATACACTGTATTAATCAGAAACACACAAACTCTATATAAATGTGCCAACAGCTTCAAGAGACTGTACATTGTTTGCTTCAAAAGGAGATCTGATCTGTTGTAGCAGATTTATACCCAAAACGGATTGATTTTCAATATGATATCATTAACGCTTTAAAAACCTTTCCATGAAACTGGTCACCTACAGGACTTTTAAAAAAAATCTGCAAACCTGCAAAAGCTAGCCACTTTTAAAGTCCTTAACCCCTTTATGACTGAGCTAGTTTTTAGTTTCTGTTCCTAAATGACTGACACATCATCTACGTCGGGATCCGCTCCGGCCTCGGCGTCTCAGTAGACCGCGAGCTGTAGCTCGCGGTATACTGAGCTTAGGGTAACGGGAGGACGCTAGTTTGTGTCCTCCCGTTAACCTAAGGAGAACTATGGGGAAAAACACTGACCCCATAGTTCTCCTTTAAAGTCGCCTTTCTCAAGCCGGGTGCCTTCTGGCTTCCTCAGGGGTGCCTCACAATTTTGTGGTAGTGATGCTGTGATGTGAAGGGGGGAATGAAGACTGATGTGAATGGAACTCAGATGTGAAAGGGGAACTCAGATGTGAAAGGGGAACTCAGATGTGAAAGGGGAACTCAGATGTGAAAGGGGAACTCAGATGTGAAAGGGGAGGTTCTGATATGAAAGAGGGGCTTCTGATGTGAAGGGGGGGGGTCTTGCTTTGAAGGTGGCACTTCAATGTGAAGGGGGAAACCCACTTTGTCTATTTTTGTGTGGAATCCCCCTTAAAATCTATGACCTTTTAGAGTGAGGTGCCTCAAGATTTTGCATACTTTTAAAGAGGCGCCATGACTGAAAAAAAAGTTGAGAAACACTGCCTTAAAGCTTATTTCCACTTTTGCAAATTTGAGAACACACCCTACTATATGGTTATATGTTCCTCTTCACTCAGCATAATGAAAAATACATTTAAAAAATATAATTTCTTACTTTAAGATGTTTCGCCCATTGTGCAGACTGCAGGCTATTCTGAAGTTTTAAAGGAAGCCTGTGCCCATAGAAAGACCAGGGACACAAAGGGGGAATTTATTAACATAATTGCGACTGTTTGAACTCGCATGGGATACATTTATGTTTCTAGTGTAATGTTGTTCGTAAATTAGATTAAATAGACTCCAGGAAAGAAGACTTAACTCCAGGGAAAAAGCTTAACTGCTCCTTCTCGAAGAAGTGGTCATGGGAACTTCTTAATTTGCAAATGTTTTGTTAGGTGATGCTCCAGTTTCAGGCAGCCGCAGGACAAGCGCAGATGTAAATCAGTTGCGAACTGTCACAAAACACTTGCAATCAGGAAAATAGCGCACGCTCAGGGCAAAACAGGAGCTGCTAAACATATTTGCGCTTAAAAAAATAGGATAAAACAGATTTAACCCCTTGTTAGGACTGACAGTGTTCAAATCTATTTACAACTGATAATGAGATCTGCCAGCACAAAGAAGCTGTCACAGGTCGGCTCTATTGATCGGGAAGTGAGCAGAAATATGCAGCTGGTCCGCTCACTTCCCTATCGTCTCCCTGCAGTGAGCAGTGACAGTCAGTCAACGCTCCCCGCAGAGATTCCCCTCCCCGATCCTCCAGCGTTGAGGGGAGGGGGTGGGTACAGCTGGCTCTGCCTCTAGATAGGCAGAGCCAACTGTCACTCACGCAGCTGGGTGGATCTCAACAGTATTGTCAGGATCCGTCCCGGCAGCAGCGCTCTCAGTATATCATGGGCCCGCGATATACTGAGCTTTAGGTCACGGGAAGAGGTTAGTATATGTCCTCCTGTGACTCAAAAGAGAACTATGGGGAAAAACACTTACCGCATAGTTCTCTTTTAACCTGCCACCATCCACATAAAACTGAATCAGTCTTGGGTGGACGTACTTATTTTAAAGCAGCTACGTATTTTATAGCAGCTATCGTATCAAAACGCTATAGTGCTTCTTACCTCTTATTTGTATGAAGTGCCAGTGGCAAAACAGAAAGAAGACATAAATAAAACATAGCTATAAAGTGCTAAGGCAAACTGTAGTGCAGATGACACATGAGATACCAAACCTAAATTCAGTGTATGTTTGATGACATCTTTTACTATGCAGTAAGGGCAAAAAGACAACATTAAACCATAGCATACCCCACAGTCTTTAGTTGTTGAAGGGACTCTTAAAAAAGCAAAACACCAATGTGGTTAGTCTTTAATGGGTGCAGTCATGTACCCTATGCTACAGAATAGGTTTATCTTTACTGTGCCAGGTCTAGTATATAGTCCGTGTACCCATCGCACTCAGAACCGCTGCTCCATGAGATAAAAGTGGGTGCAGCAGGTGTCAACGGGTGGCTTCCGTGAAAGTATAAGTAAAGGATGGACACCGGCACTCCAAAGCAAATCCAGTACATCTATTTATTCACGTACTTGTTGCGAATGCAAAACACAAGATACAATGTTTTCGGGGTCTCACAGGATCCCCTTCATCAGGCAAACAAGAGGTCTAGTATATGGTACACGAGTCAGACAATTTCTGCTTTGAGCAGAGGTTTAGGGTGTAAAATGTCATCAATACCTCTGACCTCCCCATGACCAGTGCCCTTGTCATGGGAAGAATTGGGGTCAGCTGGGGTTTTAGCTGTTTTTTCAGCATTTACTACAATGGACTATCACTATTCTCTGTCCATGGTAAAGTAGGTTTTAAGCATGGAGCTGAACTATTACGCTCCTAGCCCAATCATGGAAAGCAAGCAGTTCGTAAAAGCCTGTTTATTTATGGATAACACTATACACCTATATGCACTTGCTTGAAGTTCTGCACATTCCATGCAAATGCACATACATAGCCAAAAACTGGCTAATGTGCATGCAAAATAAAGTCTATGCTATTACCAGCATAGATCTACAACCCGACACAAAAATCTGGAAATAAATCCTTCTGGGATTTCCACTGCTGATATTAGGTGCTTGAATCCCGTTGCTTGTGACTCAAAAAAGACCCATGTCGAAACGCGTAGTGGACTGGCTGAAAGCTATGCATACCGATTATACTGGTAAAAGTTAATCTGATCGCCAGATATGTAAAAGATTCTATCGAATTAAGTCCGGTACATTTGTGTTTTGCTATCTAAGTAAATAAACTGAATTTGCTTCCAGAGTTTGGTTAAAGGATCCAAAAGGTGGAGCTATTGTTTTATGTAATTCATGAATTTCAATTGAATAAACGGTTTCTGTTGGTGCAATTGTGCCATACCCCCAGTATTCAATTTGATGCATGAAGACTATGACCATGATCGGTTTTATATTGAATAGAATAAAGTATGGACTTGGTAATGATATATAGAGTTGCTGATTGTATCTTTTTGCCGTTTGTTGAAGGAAACCAGAAGATATTTGATTGTAAGCTCATTTGTAGCTGCGGGTGAAGATGTGTGTTCATGGTCTGCTTATCTATCCCTAGCCCATATGGTTGTTGGTTTTTTTTCTTTAAGGAAAGCTGTAATGGTTTTGGTCAATTTTAGATTGTAAGCCCTCACGGGCAGGGCCCTCCTTACCATCTTGTCTTGAATTGTATTGTAATGTCTTCCTTATATATTGTAAAGCGCTGCGCAAACTGTTGGCGCTATATAAATCCTGTATAATAATAATAATCTTATTTTCACAGTTTGTTTTAAAACTGGTTTTAACTATATTTTAATGTATATAAAACATTTGTTATGTAGATAAACATGTAATACATGACAGAGTATTTCAGAGAACTACATGTTTTCTAAGGAGACAGCACAGCAGCAGATATCGCCTTTCAGGTAGGTTGTCTCTCAGGGAAATCTTGGACAAAGACTAATTCACTTGTAAGTATAAACCTGAGCTTGAGCTACTGAACACTGTAAACAATGGGCTTTTACAACATTCACTAAGGAGATAGAGAAAAGATGTAAAAAGGAATCTAAAGCCCCACCTGCTGCCTCAAAAGCAGAATGTTAACATGCAACACTTTATATTTATTTAACCAAAAAAATGTTAGCCCTGACCAAATTAAATAAAGAAAAATGTACAAAATCACTGTACAATCCCTGTAAATCAGATTTTACCCACAAGGAACAATTGTGTTTTATCAAGCTGGCAGATGATCAAATCTTCTGTAGTCCAGTCAAAAACAGAAATCAACATTTAGTGGACTGGACTTCATTATGCTAGACACATGAATGCATGGTAAATAGGGGGGAGGTGAGTAAGGGATAGAGCGCACACCTTTAGTCTGCAAAGAATTGATGGATATATTAGCCAATAGTGTGTGAGGAAAAAGGGGGGCCTCTGTACAGATTCATGAATAGTGTTTGGTGTTTTTCACTAGTTCTGATTAAGGGAGGAAAAGCAGAGAAATGCTGAATTTGAATAAAAGGCTTGCATTCCAGATTCCAATCCAGATAACATTTCAAATAAAAATATTTCCATTCCATAAACTGCTGATGGTGCGTTATCTACCCTGCAGTTACATACAGCATAAGGTCCAGTTTTACCTGCTCTTCCACCATGGTGGCTATTGCTTCATATGTTTTCCCTGCTTCTGTGATAGCATTGTTTAAATCTGTTTCACCTATTAAACAAAAAAGATCAGTAAAGAGATCACTTATGTTTATGAAACAATGTTCTGGATATGTGAATTAGTTCCCACCGATCTGGTTGGCAACATTTCAAATGAAAAACAATGCTTTCTAACTCACGTGTAAGGCTTCATTCACATGGGACATACAGTACACCAGCAAGAACCAGCGTAATTCTGCTGCTGGGATCACACGTGTGTGCGAACAATCATAGCCAGGACACCTGTACAAATCAATGACTGACAGCAGCCATGGCCACTTATGTGTCCTTAATCATCTGTAACCGCTCAATGTGGGGCTACATGCAAACAGCCATGGCTCCTTTTAGCCTGTCATGGGTATGTACAGGATTCTTGGACATGACTGATCACATAAACCTGTAATCCCAGAATTATTTCACACAAGCCTGCACATTCATACAGCGTGCACTCCCGTACAGGAACCAGATCCCAGGAGGGACAGGTGTTGCATGTGCTTGCATGCAAAAGCCTGTACCTTCCTATGGGAGGACACTGTCTGCGTCCAAGTTCAGGCACCCACACGGATGTGCAGGTTGGGGTCTGCGTATAACTTTGTGTAACTACATGCAACCGCATCCTCCCATGGAATTACATGCAGCACCTGGCCCTCCCCAGATCTGGTCCCTGCATGTGTGTGCATGTCGTACGGATGTGCATGCACGTGTGAATGACCACTTTTGCTGATGCTTGCTGGTGTATGGCCCTGTGAATGAAGCCTTAAACACAAGTTCTAAGTATGAAAAACAGCCACATAAACACAAAACACTAAAGACATGAATTACTACAAAACACGGTACCTTGATAGCCGCTGGAGCTGAAAACCAGTGACAAATTCTGCAAAGCTTTTCCTATCTTCTGATATTCTTTGGGCAGTGCTATTTAGAAACAGAAGCAACATTATAACTTGATTTTAGAATTGATCATTCATCTCGTTTACCCCTATATCACAACACAGACCTAACCAGAGCAAACTACTATTATGAATTAAAATATTCATTTACAAGCTTTATTAGGGACGTAATTCATTTATGTAGATGTGACTAATAATATGTGAGTCATCAGTTAAAACCTTGTATATAGTTATAACACAAATACAATTTTGTATTATTGTACTACAGTAATATTGGACACTAATATGCTCCGTTTTTGCTGTGTGCAATTGAAGGCAGTCCACCCACTTACGATAAAAGTGCACACACATTCATAAAATGTGCATTTATTATTTTTTGCATTGGAGCCAGTAAAGCATTGCAACCGCGATCATTGGATTGTATGTGCAATGCTCTGGCTCCTACAGACCCTTCCTTCCAGCCCCTGTCCATAAAGAAAAGTCTAGACTTTCAGCTAGGGGACGAGAGGAAGTATGAATGGACGTCACTAAACTGTTCCCATGGAGAACTACAAGTCCCTCTGCTATGGTGACAGACAGGAATTGTAATTTCTCCATTCACAGATGCTGTCAAAGGATTTGTGAATGGGTGACATGGGTGAAGATTTAAATCGTACTTCCCTCCCTGTGATACCAAGACAAGAGATTAAGATTATAAGTGTCACAGCTACAGTTGGGCTTTTAATATACAGCAAATAGTGGTAGCCAACCCTCATTTGCACGAGTAACATAATTTGAAAGAGATACTGTACATGGGCATATTGCTGAGGAACATCAGCCCTCTGTATGAAGTGGTCCTTTGATGCCACAATGGAAGACAGTGATTGCACTGGAAAGCACTTTGATAAAAGTTTTCACCGTGCACATACTTATGCTGCAATCAGAAAAAGCAATGCCTATGAAAACTGGAGAAAAAGCAAATACATGTGTTGCATGCAGCAACTTCTCAAGTGCCGCCACTATTTTCTAGTACAGGTTAGCAAACCTATAGGGCCAGTACACCTAAAAGTGATATCTTGGTTAGAACTGTAGTCAGAGACTGGCTTCTTTTATGTTTTCAATACTCTAACAATAAGGTACCCCTGTCGTAATTCAGAACTGTCCACGTTGAAGTTCTTGTCCACTTTTTAATGCTCTTCTTGTTGCCTTTTCCATAATAGAAATGTCATTAAAATTCCAATAAGTAGAGTAGGAACACCTAACAATGATCATGGCAGGTGTGCCGACCGAAGAACTCAAGCTTAAAAGGTTAAAGTTTTAGGTTAAATACTTTTGCAGCATTGACCAAACTCAAATATAAATTTTGAGTGAACTAAACCTTTATGCTAACAACGTGCTTGATACTATAGGTCAGGGGTAGCCAAACTCCGGCCCTCCAGCTTTGGTGAAACTACAAATCCCCTGATGCATCTCTCTCTGGGAGTCATGTCTGTGGCTGTGAGAATCTTGCAATGCCTCATGGGATTTGTAGTTCCACCACAGCTGGAGGGCCGAAGTTTGGCTACCCCTGCTATAGGTACTTCCATTTTTGTTAACTAGATTTTATATCAACCCTAGTGACAGTCATCTAAAAGGCCACACAGAAGAGAGGCATGTCTAGCATACAATTACAAATGATTTCTTGCATTACTGTTATTGATTGAAAACATGCAAATAGTAGTGCAACATGTTAAGCGTAACATACGTCCTGTGCACCGTTTCCAGTGCTCCTGGCCCACGTTGAGCAAATCCTTCACACCATCATCCATGGCTCTGGTGAACCTGCCGACTGCTTCACACTTCTGTTCTCTGTATGGCATAAAAACAGCAGATTACAACAGCATTTTACATTTTCACAGGATGAATGTTCAGCTTTTTTCCTATACAGAGGTATCCATTGCACAAAAATTGCCCTCCTTCATCATTACTACACCAGTAAAGCATACGTAATAAGATGGGCTAATTAGTATGAGGAAACATGGCATGGAGAAACAGTGCGTCATTTAAACCGTCCTACAGCTGTCAGATGCAGTTAGCTACCAACATAAAAGCTCCACTTCGGAGATCTTGTACTGAAGCAGAAAGGAGGCTTTGTTTAGGTTTTATATCTGTAGTTTTCCAGTGGTTTAAATGTCAGTCTTTTCGACTGGGCCGCTTGTTACTGTGAAAGCCACATAAGAAAGGACACTGCAAAGTATCTTCAGAGGCATTGATAAGATAGACCACAGATCATGAACAAGGAGTAAAAACCCAAAGCAACCAGTGTTCTGTTTACTGTACCGTTCATAAGTGTATGAGCAAAACATTTGTTGGATAGAGAAGGAAAAAGTTAATATTCCTGCAAGTTAATTTTTTTGTCGTCATTGACAGAGGTGTCCTCGTCGGATGATTTCCCATCACCTCTTGTTCTGTATAATTTGGGCCTTTTTATTACTTCATGTCTCAGTGACAATGGTCATAGAAATGGTAAGTCTACCCAAATATACATGTGCTCTGCTGCATCCAATACTTCTAACTAGGGATGCACCGGTGTTTTGGTATCGAGTACGAGTACTGATATTTTTTTCGGTACTCGCCGATACAGAATACAGAGTAACGGAAGTCCCATTCAGGAAGCCAGGCGGCGTGTAATGACTCGCCACCAGGCTTCCTGATAAGCCGGGAAGCGTGTAAAGACTCGCCACTCGGCTTCCCAATTAGCAGGGAAGCCGCCCCCATGCTTCTTGTCACTAGGTGACGAGAAAGCATGGAGCCGGCTCTCTGGCCAATCAGGAAGCCGGGCGCTGTGTACTGACGCGGCGCCCAGCTTCCTGATTGGCCGGGAAGCCGGCTTTATGCTCCCTCATCATGAGGTGAGGAGGGAGCATGAAGCCGGCCTCCCGACCATTCAGAAAGACGGGTGCCGCATCATTACGTGGCAGCCCATCATTACACGCTGCCCGGCTTTCTGAATGGCCAAGAAAGCCGGCTCCATGCTCTCTCGTCACAAGTGACGAGAGAGCATGGAGCCGGCTTCCCGGCCAATCAGGAAACCGGGCAGCGTGTAATGACGCGCTGCCGACTTCCTGATACCGGAAGTATCGGGCCAGGCATCGGAGCATTTGGGCGAGTACGAGTACTCACAAATACTCGGCATTGGCACTAGTATCGCTATCGGTGCATCCCTACTTCTAACACAGCAATTCTTACCTGTTGGACTTCACAAGTGCATGCACCCATAGCTCAGCTACAGCCTTTTATAAACTACGACATATTAATATTAACTGCAGGAATCATTGATTCAAGGAGAATTCATAAACAAGGAAACATTAACCCAAATGTTATTTTCAAGACTGCAGAAAAATAATTTAAAGTGTGACTCCAGCCTATTTTATTTTTGGACAGAGTAAGGAAGGGTTAGGGCAGGCAACTTTGGCACTCCAGCTGTTGTCGAAATACAAGTCCCATGAGGCACTGCAAGACTGACAGCCGTAGGCAAGACTCCCAAATGCAGAAGCATGATGGGCATTGTAGTTTCAGCACAGCTAGAGAAGATTTCAATGCACTTCCGGTCCTCAAAGACACAACAGAAAGCAAGTGGGAATCTCCCTAAAAAAGGTGCACATCCCATCTCTGACAGTTGCCAATGGAACAAGTTTTTAAACTGGATGATATCTCCTCTACTTTTGTTCTGGTGACAACCATAACATTTTGTATATCCCATCACTTTCTCTCCCAAAGAAATGGTCCCCAAGACAAATAGTGAGGTGCATTCTTGCCAACAGAAACACTGACTGCAACAAAAAGCTGACATAGGTTCTAACCCCTCTAAATTGTATCCAAAAACTTGGCTGGAGTTATACTTGAAACATATTAGTACACACCAGGCTGAAAGTAGTTTTTTTTCTTTCTAGTGAAGATTGTGTAACAGCTATTTTTATACTTTGTGTATCTGAGTTTTGGTCCTGTTCCACAAGGTCTTAAAACCTGTTAGGATAAATCTGAAAACAGGAACTCAGAGTTAGCACACAGCAGGCTTGCTGAATGAGATGCTAGCTACAGCAAATGGGAAGATAAACAGGAAATTCTGGAATTCCTTAAAATGGTGTTATGTCCGATGATAAATGTAGCACTACGTCCTGTCACCAAGGTCACTGAAACAAATATTTGAACAATATTGTTTGAACACCATGAAAGGTTAAGTTATCATTTACCATATACTACTATAAAAGCTCTTTCACCTTAAATTGGGCCACTGCGTTTCACCATACAGTGTTTATTGTATACTTCCCTTCTACTATATTGCCTCTTCTGTTACCCCATTTCCACCCATCACAAACTTCAGCTGCAGTCAACACACGTCACGTTTACATAACACAGCTCTGCAGCTGCTCAATAAATGTTAAAATCCAACTGAACCTTCAGTTTAAGTTGCCTAAATACATTCAAGCATCAAAACAAAGTCTTACTGTTTGTTTTCTTTGGAAAGCAGCTACAGCCAGAGTAGAACAGCCTGTCCCCTGACAGCATGCTGTAGAGAAGGACCCTTGTTCTATGTGATAGTAGCGGTTTCTCTGCAGGTCCCCGGTTGAGTCAGCGCTAGAGCTCTCCATTCAGCAAAGCCCATGCTCTCTGCTGGTTCAGAGTTCTAGCTCTGAGTTAGCAGAGGGTGTGTCGGACCTCTGCAGAGAAAGCACTGCTTCTACACAAAACTCAAGAGTCACTTGCTACAACATGCTGGCAGGCGATAGGCTTTTCTACTTTGGACATGGCTTCTTCCTAAACAAAGTGAACTGTAAGATTTTGAACACCTTTTGTTCTTGAAGTATTATGTGGTTTTAAAGAAGAACTCCAGGAAATGTTATTAACCCTTGCAGTGGGGCTACCCCGCACTGCAAGGGTTAACTGCTTGTTTGTGTCTAGGTTAAAAAAAAAACAACACAAAGTTAGACTCACCCGAAGCTCCGAGCCGGCTTCTTCTTAGAGCCCAGTCACACCATCAAGAGTGTGTTCCAGTGCGTACGGCCTCTGGAACGCAACCCGGCCGGCTCACTTTGTTTTGGGGCGGTGCATTGAACTCAATGGCACCGAAGCCACGCCCCCTGCCCGTGGTGCAGATGCCGTCACATGCATGAAGCATTTTTTACAGATCGCACTGGACTGGAACCCAGGCACTAATGTGCCACGCGTTTGGTTGCTGGCGATCGAAACGCGGGCGCGGGGGGCCTGGCTTCGGTGTCATTGAGTTTAGTGCTCCACTACACCCCCTCCTACCCCAAAACAAAAGTGAGCCGGCCGGGTTGCGTTCTAGAGGCCGATTGTATTGGAACGCACTTTTGATGGTGTGGCAGGGCCGTTAGACCGGTCCTTCAAATGTCTCTGCCCTTTCTCTGCAGTGGTCTAAGGTCCCATAAATCATCCAGGTCTATACAGAGTGTATAGACGTGAGGCCGCTGAGGAAGATTACAATGCTGCAGGGAGTGGGAGACAGACTGGAGGGAGCGCTGACACAGTTGGCCGGCTCAGAGCTTCGGGTGACCATCTTTGTTATTTTAGCACCTAGACAGAAACAAGTACTTAACCCTGGTAGGGTGTTTGGGGTAGCCCTACTGCAAGGGTTAATTTGAAACAAAAAAACAGAGCTGTTCTTTAGAAAAGAAAAAGTATAGCAAGGCCTAAGGAACTTCCCAATATGAACAGAATACTATTAAAATGCTGGGGGACCACACTATGAGGCTTCAAACACTGGTAAAATGCTGCCTTTTCTTACCAGACCCTAGAACAGAGTGTGTTGGTGAGAACTGAAAAGAATGTACTTTTTATTGTCCATGCATCTTGTGCATATAAACCATAAAGGGAAAGGCAGAGAGAATGACCCATCAAGACTGTTAAAGAGATAGTAACAAACATCTGTTCTACAGATAAGAGCATGGAAGTCTTCAGTTATGGCATTGTCTTTGGCATGTAATCACAAATTGCAGATTTCTCCTTGCTACGTGAACACAATATATATTATAAGGTAAAAGAAATATTAAAAGTGGTAATTACACTTCTGTCACATCCAGTTCAGGAGCTTCTGGCTCTATTGTGGAAAATATCATACCGCCAACCAGTTCATCCTTTTCTGCTTTTCTCTTGCCGATCTTCCACTCCTACCAAAATAGGGAAACACACAAATATTAGGGTAAATACAGGGCAATTACTCAAATGACACTGTACATTTCTCATGACATCCAAGCTTAAAGTGGACCTATCATCAGTTATATGTTTAATATGCTAAAGCGGAAATAAAGCCCTGATTTGCAAAACTTGCGAGCAGGAAGGATTGTTATTGCAGAAAAGACATACTTCCTTCTTTGCAACATTCTCTGCATGTGCAGCTCAGTGTACATCCTCGGCCCACATTAAAGTCACAATTCCCCCACCAATGCTGCTTTAAGGACTTACCTTAAATAATGCCTCTTGATCCGATCATCTTCTTCCTTCCATTTGTATTCAGGAGTCCTTCCAGAGCTAGTGCCAGTCTCTGATCCAGCGCAGACTCCTCTGGTGCCACGGTGTCTGTCCGACGTGCACACTCACGGCTGCGTGCATTCACCTTCACTGTGTCTCTTCTCCCTGCCGAAGATCTCTACTGCACATGCACACACTTTTATCCTCTTGCACGACTGCGGAGCGAGCGGCGGAACGTCACGTCACCAAAACTAGCGCTTTCGGGGCCACGCAGGGTCCCCTTCATCAGGCTCAGCAATGACTCATTCATCAGGCTCAATCATTGCTGAGCCTGATGAAGGGGGACTCCGCGTGGCCCCGAAAGCGCTAGTTTTGGTGGCATGACGTTCCAATAAACAAACTCTTTGGACCGCAATACTGGTCGTTGGCTGGTGACATTTATTCATCTTTATACTCTGTGACGGCGCCATCGGCAGGTCACTACAGGCACCCCGCCATTCAACTTTGGTTCTTTCCGGTAAGGAGTGCCACAAGGTATCTCTTGATTTGTCTCAATGTTGTAGCCTGATCAGAGAGAAAGAAGAGACTGAACAAATGTTTTTTTCCTGCCTGCAGCAGATTAATGACCTCAACCTAGACAAATTCCTTGACTGGAGCTCAAGGACAGCTTATTACTGACAAAGTGCAGCTCTTTTGAAAAATGATATGGTTGCTATATATCATGACATGCCAGCAATTTTTTAAAGCGGATGTATTGTCATTTAAAAAGATAATGATTCATCTTTTCTGCTTTTGTGAAGTTTACTTTATTTACATAATTAAAATGCTGTCATTATACTGGGGGGAAAAATCAGCTTACCAAACCACAGTATTGTGGTAAGTTATACTGTTGCCTGGATTCAAACACAGTATTAAAATGTAGGTGACCTCCACTAAAGAGTTGGCTACTATTTGTTTGCAAAGGCTGCTTTTGTATGTTCTCTCTCTCTCGGCTATTGTATTCAGGAAGCTGAATACTCGAACAATGACTGTAGTGACTGATATGATGCAGTCACTGTTCTGCCAATAATTTTCCATCCGGCTCAGTCAATTTTTAAATTGGCTTTTGTTGAGCCGGGTGGTGCTGACGGCTTGAATTTTGGCCCATTTAGCAGGAACTGGCTGAAATGCAAGCCCTCTATGGCTAACTTTAGTCATGTAGTCTCCACTCAACACTCTCTAGGCCAGGGGTGCCCATTAGGTAGATCATGATCTACCAGTAGCTCTCAAAGCTGATGCTGGTAGATCACGAAGGGTGTGAATGGCGGCCCCTTTATTCCATTTTGGTATATTTATTTTGCTGTGCACACATGATTACCTATTAGCCCAAGTCTGCTGAGCCAAGCTCCCTGACACCTTTCTGGTGGATACTGGTGGTTCAAGTGCTGCTATGTATTACATCAAAGAATATTCGTTTACACAGCCTGTTGCACTACACTGTTTGCAAAATACAGCAGGGTGAGTCAGGAGAGAGGGTGGCGAGAGACAGACAGGAGAGAGAGCAAGGAGAGACAGCCAGGAAAGAGAGAGAGGAAAGACAGCCAGGAAAGAGAGAGCAAAGGAGAGACAGCCAGGAGAAAAAAATGAGGAATGACAGCCAGGAGAGAGAGAGCGAGGAAAGACAGCCAGGAGAGAGAAGAGACAGCCAGGAGGATGAGCAAGGAGAGACAGCCAGGAGGATGAGTAGGAGAGACAGCCAGGAGAGAGAGAGCGAGGGAGATTTGTTTTTTCGTTGGTAGATCTCATGTCCCTCGTCATTTGAAAAGTAGATCTTAACACAAAAAATTGTGGGCACCCCTGGTCTAGGCAATAGTAGAGCATTTGTGGCTATGTGCAAGTTCTGGAAACACTATGTCCATTGAGCAAGCATGGAATATCATGCTGATGTGATGTGGTCTCACATACACCAGAAATTTAGGATTATTGAGCAACATTGGTAATCTGCTAGGGTAACAGTACGTTTGAAAAACAGTTGAGCTACCAAAAGTGTAGTGACAAGCCAGCTGTAAAATGTCAAAGTCAAAGATTGCCTAAACTGCTGACATAACAAACAGTCCGCCATCTGTGTTTGGGCTACTTTAGATACTGGTAAACAGATCCACTAAAACCTAAACAGCCTCCACTTTTACTGGAAGGACATTGCCAATAAAAGGGTGATTGTTAATTGAATCATCGTCATGAATGGCCTTCATGCTAACATTGGAAGGTCACCTCTCATAGATCATTTGAGGCATATACACTGCTTTGCCCTTATTGGTTAAACTCCCGGAAACCCAGAGGCAGGGCTGTAGCTACCATGGGGCGAGTGAGGCAGTCGCCTCAGTCGCATCTGAGAGGGGGAGTAGCCAGGGCCAGCCTGGCTGTGCCCCCTCGCCCCTGTTATTCAGGGCGCCATTGGCAACAGGGGCGCCAGACGTCCAACACAGCTTCTCCTCGCATTCCTTGCTGCATGGGCAGAGGACTCTGTGTCCTCAATCTCTTTTTCTATTTCAAAAGGGAAATGTCAGAGGTCTGTTTAGACCCCTGACATTTCCTCGAAGCCCACAGAACACACACACACACACGTGCAAAGACCAAATTACCAGAAACTAAAAATGTTTTCATTAGTTTCATCAAAATTTTATGCTATTTGGTGCCGCCATCCTAGAGGTGGGGCGCATGACGTCACATGACGCCGTGCATGCGTGGCATAGGGTGACATAACACGTCTGTTGGGGGGCACAATTTTCTGTTCTTGCCTCGGGCGCAAAAGGAGCTAGCTACAGCTCTGCCCAGAGAATAGCTTTTACTCATCCGAAGCAAGACAAAAAAGAGTAAATTATGGTTTTATTGCCCGCCCCATCAAAGATATCTTCAGCAATGAGGTAATTTGTTTAGAAAAATACTTCATACATTATCATATTGTTGCGTTACTTCAACAACATCATTAAACCCCTGAGCAATTTATCAGTACAATAATTTCCTAAAATCAGAGACCATCTTAAGTGTTTGACAATGTAAAGCTGAACTCCAGACAGATAGAAACAACCTTCATTTAATCCAGCTATGCATTTCTTAAAGAAATAAAGCCCAACCTTAAGGGGGACCCTGAAGATGTAAAAGAAGACAGAAAAAAAGCTGTGGTTGCAATATTCACCTCCCCCCCTCCCAAATAGTAATAGCTTTCAGTCACTGGATGTCCTCAGTCAACAACATAAAGGCCTTTAAAGCTGAACGGCAAGGGTTCAGTGCTCATTTTTGTCTAGGTACAAAAATAACAAAGTTATACTTACCTGATCCTCAGAGCTGGCTTGCTTTTAGACTGTGGTCCCTTACACCTCGCTCCACCTTCACTACAGCAGTCTAAGGTCCTGTACATCACCACATTCAATACACTGTGTATAGCAAGCTGGCTCAGAAGATTGGGCAAGTATAACTTTGTTATTTTTGAACCTAGACAAAAATGAGCACTTAAAAGAGAACTATGAGGTGAGTGAAAATCACTCATCCTCATAGTTCGAGCTGACGTGTGACAATGAAACTGTCACAGGTCGGCTCAATAGATTGGGAAGTGAGCGAACACATACCGTCACGCACTCACTTCTCGATCATGTCCCTGCAGAGAACTGCCAATCACGGCTCCCTGTAGGGATTCCCCCCTTCCCGCTCCGATCCTCCAGCGCTGGGTGGAGGAACGGACGGAGGAGGGGGGCGGGCACAGCTGGCTCTGCCTCTAGATAGGCAGAGCTGGCTGTCATTCACGCAGCTGGGTGGATCTCGACAGCATTGTCGGGATCTGTCCCGGCTGCGGCGCTCTCAACTAGTATATGTCCTCCCATAACCCTTAAGACAACTATGGGGAAAAACACTTACCCCATAGTTCTTTTTTTACTCTTGCAGTGCAAGTGTAAATTATATATATTAAAAAAACAACAACATATAAGTAAAATATTTGCACAAACAGTCTGGCCACCTGCGGTGAAAAATGGAGAGCAAGGCCTGAGAGCAAAAGGGTTAAACGTTTTCTAAAGGTTCCTGTGCCACAGTCTGAGCAGGTGGCAAATATAGATACTATGTAATGTACAAGACTCAAAGTTAAAGGAGAACTATGAGGTGAGTGCTTTTCACTCACCTCATAGTTCTAGCCGACCTGTGACAATGAGACTGTCACAGGTCGGCTCAGTAGATCAGGAGGTGAGCGAACACATACCGGGTTCGCTCACCTCTCGATCCTGTCACGGCTCTATGCCGTGACAGGGGAGGGGCTGGATTCCCCTCTCCGATCTGCCAGCGTTGACTGGCGGAATGGACGGGGGAGGGTACAGCTGGCTCTGCCTCTAGATAGGCAGAGCCAGCTGTCACTCACGCAGCTGGGCGGATCCCGTCGTCTAAGTCGGGTTCCGCTACGGCTACGGCGTCTCAGTATACCGCGAGCTGTAGCTCGTCGTATACTGAGCTTAGGATAGCGGGAGGACGCTAGTTTGTGTCCTCCCGTTACCCTAAGGAGAACTATGGGGAAAAACACTGACCCCATAGTTCTCCTTTAAGAGTGTTAACTTAAAGTGACATTAAACCCTCAGATTTTTTAACATAAAACAATACTGTAATGTGTGCCTTACTGTAATCCATGGTTGTTTCCCTTCTCTTTGCTGCTCTTCCTTTTAAATCCTTATCTCTTCTCATGCTGGGCAGAACTTCTGTTTTGCAGCAGACTGCCTTGTCTCGGACATGGATACATGGTGTCTGTGTGTAGGTTTGCAACCTGGGCCAGCACTACAGGAAGAGGCATTCAGCTGCAAAGGGAAGTTCTCCCCAAACATGAGAAGAGATAAGGATTTAAAAGGAAGAGCAGCAAAAAGAAGGGAAACTACCATGGATTACAGTAAGGCACACATTTACAGTATTGGTTTATGTTAAAACAATCTGAGGGTTTAATGTCACTTTAACTTGTTTAGAGTGAGCCAAATCTGTCTTCATTTGTGTCTCCCACACTCCCCCTCCGAGACTCTGCAGCTCACAGTGAGAGGGTTTCAGCAAAAGACACAGTGCTGCCAATCTAGGAAGACTAGGTGTGACCAGTTGCCTGTCGAATAGCCACATCCCCTGCAACATTCTCATGCCATGGTAGAAGAAGCAGCCACAGCCTACACTGAGACTAACAACTCTCTACTGGTACAACGGGAAAAATGTAGGTAATGATGCAATTGCAATTACTACAGCACATATAATGTTTATTGGGAGGCTATAGTTCTACTGTAAACTAATTCTAGTTCAGTTTTAGGCCCCTAACACTAGAATCCAGTTTAAAATGAAAACAGATCTGCAGGTACTGCATACCTTTTCATCTCGAAAATTTAAAAACTGCTGGAAAACATCACTCTCTGATACAACAGGATGGCGGCACATTCGAGACATCCATCCTTGTAGTCTCTCCATACGCATCTTTATAAATTCTTCTTCAAAACGACCTGTAATGTGCAGAAGAAAAGAAAAACTTTATATAAAGGTTTGCATCCCTATGTAGGCGAGAATGCAAGCTAGCTATATAGTAGGACTATTGTAGCTGAACACATTTTTCATCAATACCACTTTCCTTGGTAGGAATATTGGTGGTAAATAAAAGTGTGCATTTGTAGTAAGCATCAAGCACCATGACAGTTTGAGAGGAGAGGAAGCAAAGCCATTGTAATTAGGGATGCACCGATATATCGGCCGTCGAAACATATAGGCCGAAAATTGCACTTTTGGCTAAATGCCGAAAGTGCCATTTTCCTGCTGATACATCGGCGCATCCCTGCTTTCTTTCCTCTGTTGCTTTCCTCTTGCTCTGTTTCCCAGCGGGGAAGAGAGAAAGTGTGACAGCCGGCCGAGCGCTGCGAGCGGCCAGCGTCTCTCCTCCCACACCGCTCAGCCGCCTATCACAGTCCGGCAGAGCGGTCTGGGGGCGGAGACAGCCCGCGCTGTCACAGGAGGCTGAGCGAGCGGTGTGGGAGGAGAGCTCAGCCTCCTGTGACAGCG